TCCTAAAGCTTTAAGGATGCTTAACATGGATTTTCCTACTATAAACAATGTGCAAGAGTTGAAACTGGCGTTAGAAATGCATTTTTCAAGGCTTCATTTAATACATGATCACATGCTTCAGAATTCGTGAGGTAAGTCTAAAAATGGCCAAAAATATATGAAGTAACTCAGCCTTAAATCCATAAAAGTTACTCCTAATTGTATTTAGGGATGATTCAAACGTGTTTTATGGCAATATAAGCGGAATAAATGAGCAAAGTTCGGATTATAATGATGTTCATTATCATAGCGATTTTGAGTGTTTACGATAATTCAGTCAAATTGCATGAGGCCCCGTCGTGAATTTACAAGAGTCCCCAGAAATTTTTTTAAAGCACTGTCATTATCAATGCTAGTAAAGACTACAGGGAAAATAAAAGTGGCCAGAAGACTGTACTTTGGGAGATATCACTCAAAATATATGGGTTACTTTTAGCGATCATAAAATAGTCAAAACCGTCTCTCCTCAATACCACGAATTTTCCTTGAATTTTCATTTGTTTATTCCCAAAAGTGCATGACTAAAACTAGATATGTTGCTCTACTATCGGAGCGAGTTTGAAATAAAAAGCCTGAAAAACAACGGAGAACGAGCTTCTTAAATTTACTCAATTTTTAAAGAACATTCCGGGCTAATTTGATGGTCTGAGGACCAAAAATTAAATTGCCGTTTCCATGGCAACAATGCATTTGACGACCCTAATATGGGGTGTTTTTGTGCACCCCCCAAGGTGGTCTACCTGCACACAGAGTTTCAGGGTAGGTCAAAAATTTTCATTTCCAAATTTGTTTGATTGTTACAGAGACTAGCTCTTAACAGAACACGGAAAAATAAAAATTTACCATTACCATTATCATTTATAAATATTTTCCTCTAATTTTATTCAATAGGGTGAAATTCCATTGAATCTTTTCAACGAGCACAACAGAGCGAGCGTATTAGTTCTGACCAATCAGAGTGCACGTAAGATTAAATGGCGTCATTCGTGTACTTAATAACACAAGGTTCTCGACCAATCCAAGTGCGCGTACTGTACCAAATATTGTATACAGGTATAGATCTACCGTACTGAAAAAGGCCTTTATCTTCGAGTATTAACGCGTTTAGCCAAATATTATAATTAATGGTGAATACGTTTTTTAACAATATAAATACCCTTTTCCCAATATAAAACGTGCGTAGGCTCTTTCGTTTGTCCTCTCCTTGAATCGTATGCATGTCTTGCTCTGCCATTCGTTTATTCCTTCCCGAATGGCATTCATTGCTCGAGTACTTCTGGCTGTAAACACAAAAAATTGTTGTTAACGCACTATTTAATTCATTTCCCATATTGGCCAAAGACTATTCTAACTTGAGTAACGCTATACTTATTTTGACTGACAATTAATAAGTGTATACTCTCTTATCGCACTGTGCAATATAATGCACTGTATATGTCTGCGAAATATAATCTAGATAGGTTCTTAGTATTAACTCATTTTTAGTAACTATTTAAGAGTTCTAGCGAAGTATTGTCGATCTCTAGGGGCACGAATGGCCAAATGCTTTGGTTAATGGCTTTCCCCTAAGTACAGAAAATAACATCGAACGCACTAACAAAGACCGTAGTTTCTAGCGAATAAGTTATCGGTTACTCAATCCTATCTTCCGTTAATTGGGAGTTTTTGGGGGATTTTTATTCAACTTTTTCATAAGAAAGTTATGAGTTTTTTAAAAAGTGTCCAATACTCCAGTTTCGAATTCATAGCGAAAACCCGCTGCTCTATACAACAGATTCTCTTGCGCAAATGGCTGACCAAACACAAAAGAGAGCACGAGAAAGTGTCGTTAATACAATAGACTTGAAAATTTGCATTTTCCCCGATTTGAGACTAACCCTGTATTCCCATAAGACCTAAGGTATGCAGGGTTAGCCTCAACTCGGGTAAAATGTAAATTGTTAGCGCTATTGTACTTACAACATTTTCTCGTGCTTTCTTTTGTATTTGGTAARGTCTTTGCGTAAGAGAATCTGCTGTCAAATAAAACAGCGGTCATTCGCTTTGAATTCGAAACTGGAGTATTGTACTTGGATTGTTATACTATTAAGGCCGATTTAGACGGTGCAACTTTTGCCTACAACTATCGCATGCAACACACGTAAGTCATCCTTACAACATGGCTACAACTGTCGTAGAGATTAAAAACAATTGTTTGATAACCCTACGACAGTTGTAGCCTTGTTGTAAGGATGACTTACGCGTGTTGCATGCGATAGTTATAGGCAAACGTTGCACCGTCTAAATCGGCCTTTAGACTATTCATTTCAGCTCATTATTCTTCAAACAATCTTCTCACCACTAAAACGTTYAACAGCAAACATAAGAACATACAGCTATAGAACTACAACAACACAAAACGCTGTTTTTAGAAAACGACTTTTGTTTACAGTCTCACAGCACGATAACCACTCTAATATTGAAACTCACAAAATAGAAAATAAGAAATCTTACTTACCAAGCGAACTGTCGATTTTGTAAATAAATATTCCTTTTTGCCACCATCTGTTCTTTATAGAACCCCGTTGACCATTTAATGCGGCTATTTGTTCTGCCGTTAGAATCATGTCGCCTTCATAGACATTTGGGTCGTCGCTCTCCTCTACAAAAAAAACAAGGGAAAATTAAAACTTTTGTCGTCCTCAACATAACATTATAAGATAAGGTAAAATAAAGAATACAACAAAAAAAGTCTATCCGAACAGGAGACGGAATATGAATTATAAAATTTCCACGATGACGACAAAAAGTAATGTTTGGTAATAACCAAATCATTATTTCAAAAATTAAAGCATTTAAAACACGATTTGATACACATTCAATCTCTATAATTTTTTGGAGTGTTTTCACCACAATCTACACAGTTAGTATATTCTAGCATCAGGTTCATCTGTAGCTTTCTAGATATCCCCTTCCAATCCCGTAGCTCGGGCGTTTTGGCTAATAAGCACATGCCAGGGACCGCGACGCATATTTTGGATTGGTGGGATAACGACCGCTTGCCCTTGAAATTTTGAAATAATAACTTTTGTAAATGCGATTTCCAGCGTTTTTAGGAGCATCGAGAGCATATAAAAGGCATCAAATTCATGTGAATTTTTAATGATTTTTGCGAAAATGTCAATGTTCCCTTGCCACTAGTGCGGATTTCTCATGACTGTGCAAAATAACACGGCATCTTCGCGCTGTGACCGTATCGTGCCGTAGCAGTGATGTATTGTTTCGTGAGGTTCCGTGAYCGTGCCGTGCCGTATCCGTGTTGTGATCCGTGCCTTTGCACAGTCATACGAAATCCGCTCTAGTACTCACGTGCGTAAAGGATGCTACGCGCCTGCCTTCAACTACACCACATACTGGAATTTCATTGATTTTGATATGACCTACACAATAAAAAATATGAACTTGGGACTTCTAATAACGTTGTACAATAGCGTAAGAGAATCTGCTGTCAAATGGAACAGCGGTTATTCGCTTTAAATTCGAAAATGGGGTATTCAGAAGATTCTGGCATTTCAATCTTTTTGGTTTTACCTTCAGGATTTGAGGCAGCAATTACTGCTGCTGCAGATAGAAGTAGTAACCACTTGATCATCATCTCGAACTGTTCAAGAGTCAATGTCTGTGATTTCTAACATGTGTTTATAGACACTGAATGGGCCTATCTTCACAGATGTACAAATGTAGACATTTCCTCTGAATCAACAAATCCAATGTTTACATTTTCGAATTTTGATGTTGTCAAATCCTTAAGAAAATATTCAATCAAATATTTGCATTGGGAAGTAAAGGTGCACAAGGAATGAACAGTCATGAAAAGAAACAATGGCATTAGCGACTTTCAGGTCTTTCTATTCCTTGGTTTTCACTTCATTTTTATACAGTTTTTTCATTAGATTGAAGTGAAAATTGAAATCAGGCGGGCAGACAGAGAAAATTTCTGTTTTTATATTGAATGATTACTTAAACAATAATCGATTTACAATGAAGTTTCAAATAAAGAAGTGAAATGATTAAATCAATTATTGAAGTGTATTAAATTTCGCGCGTTTAATTTTCGCGGATCTTTTTTTTCGCGAGGTTTTAAARCCTCGCAAAAATCAGAACGAATATGGTATTTGACTTTCTCACTTTCATAACCAAATTTTGTCTCACGGGGTTTAATGAGCTCATTCTATCCCTTGAAATACATTAGAGAGTCCTRTTTACTTCAATTTGGCTTTTTGTTTCACGGAATAGGTGTTTTTTTTTACAAGCGCAAACACTAAAAGCGTGAAAATGTACTAGCCAAATAGTACTAAGTTTAAGCAATATAATGTAGATTGGACAATAGAAATCAAAGGGATTGTCATTAGTGCGATCACTCTAACATCTAGCACCTTTCCTGAATTACTATTACATTGTTAGTGTAGTACCTATTTCACGCTTTTTCAGTTTGACTTCACATAGTTTTATCGTTTTCCTTTCTCGGTGTATCACACACTATTGCACTTTGAATGTAACGACTTTGCTTGACGACTTGTTAATGAAAACCACTCACTGTAAGCATTAAATCTAATATTTTATACATTCTCTTAAAATTTGCCAAGAAAACTGAAATATTTTGCTTTTTTTTGTTCGATTTTTTTATTTTACTGAGATCATATTTGTACAAAACATTTCTTCTTTAAGTCAAATAGAGTAATGTTGGTTGGACTTGAACTCATGGTACTCGTGTTTCATCAACCAATTTTGTTTTATTTACCACGCTTTCGGGCCTATTGGCCCATCCTCAGAGTTACAATGGTTTGAAGGATAAAAAACACAGGTAGCCCAAGCACTGGACTTGGCAGTGAAAAACGAAAAGTTCGATAAAAGTGGTAAAGCTGAATAAAATTATTTCAAACTACAACATAGTGTTCTTCTTATTTTTCTCAACACCCCTGAGAAGTTTCAGCTCATTATGGTAAACTTTCCCCTACTTATATATATTAAACTTGATGTTCTTTTTATCCTGTGCATTTAGATGTTTAGATGATTTAGATGCAATCACATCTGGCCACGATATTGCTTGGGGTGACTCTGCAATACTTAAAAGAGAGGGGAGATGGGATCAAAGAAAGTGGTCGGAAGAACTGCATTTTTAATAGAGACAGTGGACGAAAGATTCCACCAAACTACATTGCACTCTTGTAATTTATTTATTTATTTATTTTAAYGTTTTTCGTGCAATATATCATTGTTGTTGTTTTCCTTATTTAGCGCGCGTTTAGAACGCGCGTCTCAAGCGCGTGCATGTTGTGTTTGTATTCGTAAATTTCGTACCGTTTTTTATCCTTCAAACCATTGTAACCCTGAGGATGGGCCAATAGGCCCGAAAGCTTGGTAAATAAAACAAAATTGGTCGATGAAACACGAGTACCATGATATTTCTTCTTGTTAAGTCCAAATGTCTCAAGAAAAGACCAAATAATGCGTAGACAGCTGACTAAATAGCTTGAAGTATTGCCACTCAAAATGATGTGGATTGAAAACACATTTTTATCTGTGTTTAAGCAGATTTTATGAGTGGTCTAGACTGAAAAGAACCAGCTTTTTACACACGTCATCCATGGCTATACTTAGCCTTTTCTCCTTTCGGACTAAAACCGCATACCACCAACAACGCAGGCTAGGTTTTACTTTTGATCTATTTGTATGTTCCTCGCCCCGTGTAAGAGAATCCGGAATCCAGTAGAAAAACAGATTTGGAGTCCGGAATCCCTATCCTGGAATCCAGAATCCAAATAATTTGAATAGTTAGGAAGATTGCTTTTATCGGTGAAAATCTAGCTGTCTAGAGATGGGAACGTACATCCAACTGATATGCTGTACTTTACTGTACTTCATAGAGCGGATTTCGTATGAGTGGGAAACGGACGTTACTCTACTGTGACCGTAATCGTACTATAACCAAATTCTAGTGTCCCATTACTTCACAAAAATTGTGCTGGCCAGGTCCGGTAAATGTGTGGTAACTGTGCGGTAATTTCTACTGTACGTTTCCCACTCATACGAAATTGACTTTATACGTAGTTTGTTCGTTAGTGTGCGACAAATAGAGCGGATTTCGTATGAGTGGGACACCGTTACCGCACAGTTACTGCACAGTTACCACACCTGGCCTGCAGAATTTTGGTGAAACAATGGGGCACTAGAATTTGGTTACAGTACGATTACGGTCACAATACATACCGTCCGTTTCCCACTCATACGAAATCCGCTCTATTGGAGACAGTGCAAATTAGTGACGCGCTAACCTGCATGCGTTGCCGGCGCCCTGCGCTATTTAGGCTACTGACACGCTGAATATAAAATTCTCAGGAAAAAAAGAAACCACTGAAAATCACGCCATTTATTATCCGGAATCCAAAACAAACATTTTTTGTTTTGGAGATGGTCGCTTACGAGAGAGTTTTTTTTCACAAAGTTTATGCGGGAAACAATTATAACGGGATATTTAAAATGTGGTCGCATACGGGATATGGTCGCTTACGAGAGTGGTCGTTCAAAGAGAGTCAACTGTATAGTATAAACATAGGTTCGACATATGTTTGGTTCTGCAAGGGTCATCACGGTACTCACCGTTTTTGCATAGAGCCCTACTTCTGTCATAAGACTCACATATCAATGGACAAATATAATATACCTCCATTTTATGAATTGCTTTCCTCCACGCTCAACAATGATGTTTTGRCCCTGTTGCTACACGACACAGTGTTTGACGTAGTGTATAAAGAACTCAAGAGTGTGTTTTATCGGGTGATAAAGATCCGAGCCGAAGGCGATAGTCCCGATAAAACACACTCTTGAGTTCTTTATACTACTTCTAGAACTTTGACATCCAGAAATCGTTATCATTTTAGAAAAAAGCTAAAAAATGCGAAAACAGTGATAATGCACGTAAGAACGGCTAGTCTATGCTATACTGCATGTCTGCACATTGATTAAAACTGTTTTAAAACCTAGCAAAGGTCTATGATGCGACATTAAAACTGAGACCTTTGGTAGTGTTGGGTTGTGATAAAGCGCTGATGACCTTGAACATCAGTTCTTTATATCTGATATAGAACTGATTAATAAAACATCAGTGCTTTATGTAATGTTTACAACATGAGGGCCGTGTTGTATGGGATTTTGTACGAGAATATATGGTTGATATTGGGTGCTTGAAGAGGTATTTGTTCTGACATACTAAGAATGTGAATGAGCAATATGGCGGTTTGYTGACTGATATCCACTATAACGGCCTTGATATTTCAAGGAAGGAATCAGGTAAACCTTCGATTTCTATAATGAATAGTCTATATGCTATGCAATTTTATAAAATAACTTGGATACTACGCGCGTTCTGATTGACCGACTGCAGTGTTTGTATTTGAGTATGTAAACATGGTTTTGACGTCACCATTTTTTGTCAAGTGCAATTCAAAACTAGAAGTAGAATAGGAAAAAAAATCAGCTATTTATACAAAAATGTATCCGAAAACTTAGCAACAGCTAGTTGTTAAAGTTTTACTATTTCTTGTGGGTTTTGAGTGCATAGAATATTAGGTATAAAATATAGATAAACAAAGCCAGGAGCCCATTACTAGGAGCCTTCCTCTTCTTCATAAGCTCTTGGAACGGCATTTACCCCTCCTGGTGCTATTTTTAGAATTGCTTATTATAAATTCAGCGCAAAACAGCCAATCGGAAAGCGTCTTGAATAATAGGTTTTTGAATGAACGACGGCCGCCGGTCGACCGTCGGCAGTTCCGAGGAGGAAGATCTTAGTACTAGACTATTCAAAATTCATTTTCAGGGTGTTTAAAGTTAACTTTTAGTAGAAATATGTCCCAAAAAAGGACAGCAGAATCACCTTTCGCTTCATATTTAGCCGATGAGGAAGCCAGTGATAGAAAACAGGTCACGTAATTAATCGAGATTTCTTTCAGTTCAACGATTGTTCATAATGAGTCTTTATAAATTCGTTACCTACTAGTACACGATAAACAACTACTAGTTTAACCTAAAAACATGAATACCAGCTTATTTATTAAGCGTAATTTATCCTACTAAGATCTTTATTTGTAGCTTTGGAAATTTTTTCGTACGGCTTGTTGTCATTGCAGTTCTTGTATCGCTCGCATAAAATTATCTTCAGTTTGATATTGTTACCAGATATTAGCTCAATAAAAAATCTCTATGAACATGAATTCCACCTGACCTTCTTATCAATGAAACGGAGTTCATATGACCAATGCTTTCATGTGTTATTTGTGGCTTTGTGAATTTTTTCGTCGGTGATGCTGAAGTGCTGGCACGTCGAAGCGGCTAGAGGCGATTTCGTATGAGTGGGAAACGGTGATGWCGAATCGCGTCCGTACCGTAACTGTATCGTAGCTGTATCGTATTCATGGATTCTGATTTGTTGGCATTTTTTCTGCTCACACCTGATTGGATTGATTTGTATGTACCGTAGTTTGCCGAGCCGTAAGTTCGATTGTTGATTGGATGGAGCCGACACTTGCCGTATCGCGCGTTACGGTACCGTAAGCTGTATCGTAAGTTCGATCGTTGATTGGGTAAATACGGTGCTCGCGCGATACCGTACTTTAGCCGTATYGTAAGCGCGATTCCTGATTGGCTGAGAGACTTTCTACTGACAACTGGTCTACGTCATCTTGTCACACAACACCGAGTTGCTGAATTCTCGCCACCTGTTTTTGAGAAGTTTTCGACAGAAAATTCGACCAGAAAAGCCTTTTAAGGATGAATGTCAATGGGAATCAGTTTTTTGTAAGTAGGGATTTTATAAAATGACTGGCAGATGTTGAGATTTGAAGATTATTATATCAATATTCCTCAATTTTTTGCCATTTCGAGACCTCACTCGTGCCGATCTGTTGAGAAAATGTAGTCTTGGTATCCTGATGTCCGCTTGATAAAATGATCTTTTTAATGAATAAACCAGTTGAATTAGCTTTTGTTTGTATTTATTTGAGCACTTTTAAGCRGKGAGAATATTTGCAATTCATTGTGTGAAAGTTTTTAGTTTGTCAAACTTTCGCGCGTGACATGTTCAGTCGATAGTTTTCAAGCATAACTTGAAATTTTTTGAACTACTTGCTTGACATAGTTAACAATACCACTTAAATGTTTTGTTGGGGAAATTAGCCTATTTTTCGTTGTGATTATCACTATTTCTKGAGATTAACTTAAGAAAGGATCGAAGGAATCCGTATCGTAGCCGTACCGTAGTCGTATCACGTCAGCGTCGGTTTCCCACTCATACGAAATCGGCTCTAATCAAACATACTTTAAAGTGTCAAAACAAAGTCTTTCAGCAAGTATCTTCCTTCAGTTTTTCAAAAATCTCATCTTGATATCATTTCCATACCAATTCTGAAAGGAAACGCAACATAAAGCTTTACTTCAAATCAGTGAATCGACGAAGATGTAAATGTTTTCATTCAGCGAAAGCAGCACACATTCCGTTGCTGGTTTTACCAACCTTTTTCTAATTTGTTTGCGTCCAGTTGACCTTTTGAAAGACATGCACCCTTTCTCCTCAACGAACACGTAGTTTATGATTCATCTAAGGTCACTAAAAAAGCAATTTTGTTTGTACAAAGAAAGAAAGAAAGTTGCCCGCCGTCGTCCGCCATTTTTTTTTCACATTTTGTCAAACCTGCCATAGGCTACCCAACTATTGCTTGAGAGAAAGAAAAGAATGAATGAGCACGCTTTTATACTAGTATCGGCGCGCGCTCTTAGTAAAATGCGGATTACCTGTGGTATTACGTCACGATCCCGTGTCTCGCGCGGGATTCAAACAAGTCTGTGACAAGGTATGAAACACTGGTCACGTGATGGACCGATGTGCGCCCCAGGTAGGTAGCTTGTCTATCCCTCCCTATCGTTTTTTTTTTCGTATGGACTTCGAGAGCTTTCGTAAACAGTCGTAGCCATCGCTCGACATTTTTCCGATGGTCGACCGATAATGTCGCTCCCTTTCTATCGTCGCTCCGTCGCTGCCACATAAACTTGGTGATCTTTCGTTGATTTTGCTCGGGTTTCTTTGTAGTTTTTGTTGGAAACCTACATATCAATGTTTTGAAACTTGACTGCTTCGTGCAAGAGATGGGACTGTGCATTCACAATTACTTTAAGAGAAAACATGTTTTTCAAGACACTTGAGTCACCTTGAAAACCGAAGCAGATAGACGTCGTGGATTTTTACAGGTCTTAGAGTTGTTTATTTATGACATAGATTAACTATGTTTATGAGCAGGAATCAAGCTGATGGAGTGAGTAKTTGGAAAAGAGATATTTCTTTACATGTAATGATAGTTTTAGCCAGATTTTTTTTTGTTAGTGTAAACCCACGGAAAAAATTATTTGTGATGTCAAGCCGGAAAACTCGAGTGAGCAGTAAGCCTACGTTTACGTTTTACCGCTTGGTTTAGCTATTTATGAGGAAGAATGCGTCTATTTTGATAATGAATAATGTCATCTAATAATTTTAGATGCTTGAAAACTTGAAAACGCTTCGTTAAAAATCCGGTAAAATGAATTGTATGCACTCAACAACCATCAAGAAAATTTGCATGTACAACTTTGGTTGTTTACTGAAGCCAAGGTGACTGAGATCAACCYTGTTCAAAATCATGTATATTTGTACTTTGAAACTGTAATAAAGCTTTTCAGTATTATCAATATCAACTGTTAACTGGATTAAATTTTTAATTTTCTTATAACTAAGCTCATATTTGTCATGTTTTTACTAATGTTTGTTTTTTTGAACCTTGAAGACCTCGAAAGGTTTCTATATTTTATAACTTTTTAATTTGTTTTTGTTTATATTACATTTTTCCAGCGTGTTTTCTTTTCCTTTTTTAAGAAAATTAATTTACCCTTGACTTTTATTTTCACCTCGAGGAACTCACGAATGTTTTCCGAAAGCTCTCGAAGTCTATACGAAAAAAAAAAACGATAGGGATGGATAGACAAGCTACCTGGGGCACACATCGGTCCACGGCGAGTAAAATGCTTAATGTTCATTTTCTCGTCATGTAATGAATATTTCATACTGAAAATCCTGAGGTAGTTAGGAAATCTGGCGATGTATTGTAATTTGAAAGAAAATCGTCGATTTCTGTTGTTTTTCGGTGAAAAAGGAGCGAAATTATATTTGTCACGTGACCGGTGTTTCATACCTTGTCACAGACTAGTTTGTATCCCGCGAGGCGCGGGATCGTGACGTAAAGTAACCCGCAGCGCGCGCCGATTCGATAACAGACAACATAATATAAAAGCGTGCGCATTCATTCTTTTCTTTCTCTYAAGCAATAGTTGGGTAGCCTATGAACCTGCCAACTTCGTCTTTCGTTAAAACGTGAACTGTAATTGGCTGGTTGAAAAAGCCATTGAAATGTTTGAGGTAAGGAGAAACCTAGTTTTGATCATAAACATTATACTCGAATTCTAAAGTTTTTAAAGCCATATTTTAGAAAAAAGAGTTATTATATAAAAGCAATAGATAACTTTTCCCCTGTGTTTACATAGCCTGATGCAAACACTCGGGCAGGTTGGGAGAATTCTCGATGGTTATGCAAACCTTGACTTCGTCTCGGGTTTGCATAAGCGTCTCGAATTCTCCCAACCTACCCTCGTATTAATGTCATCAAAGATTAATGTCATCAAGGCGACACTGGTGAAAAACGCACTGCGCATGTCCACAGCTTTCCCGCTGAAATCTGCCTAATTTGCTTTGTAAAGCGATTTTTGTGAAAGTTTTTTACAATTTATAAGCTCGTTCACCGATATATAAGATTCATATTTCCATTAATCATTGTTCATGATAGGTCCTTTTAGTATGTAGTTTCTATTTTTATCTTGTCATTTCTATTTTGTAGAAAATGAGGTTTTTCGTAGTGTTTTTTTGTGTTGTCGCTGTAAATCGCCAGGCGCTCTGTTTACAGATTTCAAGACGYGAGCGCCCACTGGCGGGRAAGCTGTGGGCATGCGCAGTGCGTTTTTCACCAGTGTCCATCAAGACAATATTATGATTGCTCAATTATATCGAAATCTGCACTCGACCGCCACACTTTTCTTTGTTGCAAAAGGAAGAGTTACCCTTGCTTATTAGGAATATTGTGCTCAAACGGAGTGCCCAGACCATTTTTTTTTTAATTTTACACACCCTACCCCAGACTAAAGGTACAAAGGTACATTATTTTAGCGCTGAAAGCTTGTCCTGGAAGATACGTTCACAGGCAAAACTCCACCCTACCCCACAAAAGACTACCCTATCGCAGACAAAACTATATTACCCTAACCCAGACAAATGGACGAAAAATGATACTCTATCCCCACTTGGAGCTCCAAAAAGGGACCCTATCCTGCGGCACATACCCGTATAGCAAATATTAGGGGAGTACCCCCCCCCCCCCCCCCCCATCCCCGCGATATTTTGCGACCGCCACACAAAATCCAACTGATATGAAGGTACTTTTGATATACTTTCAATATGCATTGCTAAAATTCTTTCAAAAAAAATGGGGAACATGAAGAACATTAGCTTGATTTGTGTTGTGTATGCTGTGATCGCACAGTAAGATTTCCATATCATTGAAGATTGTCTAAATTCTTTCTTTAGAATGCTGCTAATCTATCATACCGATGGGCAAAAAAGTGTCTTTGATGCAGATAGTAACGTGGAGGCTTCAATCAATATTAATTGCACACCTTTAATCTTTAAAAGCTGAGGTTTCTTCTGTACATATATATATCGCAACTATCACCGATTCTTTACGATTGACAACACTAAATCGCTTTAATTCCAAATTGTTTCAAATTTGTTCAATGTTCTAAGAATAGCCTAATTAAAAATCTAATAATCTGTTAGTTATGCATTTGCTTATAATATTGCTGTTTGTGTAGTTTTTAAATCTCAATAAAAATGATCGAAGCCAAAGAATGTCTTATATGATTTTATGCCTGTTTTATATATTGTAGGAATATTCACTATTTAAATGTACTTAAAATGAATTTGAGCTAACAATTTTTGGACTGATCTGTGTATTTTAACATCCCTATTCCATAAACTCCAATGTCAAAATCGCAAAATAATCATAACTGCGACTACAATTTACAGACGTGTACCAGCGGTTTTAGTGTATGCTCATGCAAATTTCCCTCATGCTGTACAGCCAAAGCGTCCAGCCAAACATACTTTCTTTGTTATTTTAGAAATTTGTGAAAAATTCTATTTCTATTTCTAATGACTTAGACTTGCTCAAACTTTAAACTTTAGCTTATATGCGTTTTATCAACCGACAAMAAWTTTTTGTAAGATTGTAGCACTTTAAATAATTAGTTCCTAGGCCCCTGCTCGTTTGGCTATCGGCCAATTCAAATCCTGTGGGAAAATAAATTTTATTTCTAAGAATTCTACTGTGAAATAAAATAAAGCGAACAATGAATCTTACTCTCGGGTGGGTTGAATTGGGTGGAGACGTTTAAAGCAACGTGTCAGCCGATTAGGTCTATTCCCCGCACTGCGCACACTCGGAAAGTGTGTCCCAGAGTTTTAAACTCGATAATGGTCCAACATTTAAGCTTCATAGAAAAATGTAAATAACGCACTTGAACTGTTCGTAACCGGTCGCAGGCACATCGACGATATTTCCCTTATGCATTGAACGTGATGAGGGAAATTTAGAAGACAAAGAAGTAAAAAGAATCCGAAGTGATCATGATAATAGTTCCGTTAATTTGACCACTACGTTATTTTTCGACTAGAGTGGTTTTTTCGTAAACCTATAGCCGGATGTCAAGCCGAGCGAGGACTGGGTTGAATGTGGTGAGAAAGAAGGACCTTATTGAAAAAAAATGCAAAATCACAAGATTTGGTGTAAATCAATTCAATAGGTGGGCGCCAATGTTTACGTTTTAGCTAATTTGCATAAAAGTCAGAAGTCGAATTTCAAGACACAAGAAAATCAAGCCCATAAATGAAAAGAACTCATACCTGTTAACAATTCCTGCAAATTTGAAGGCAATTGGTTAAATATTTCAAGAGATATCAAGCGCCGAATTTGCAAGATTTTCTAAAGAAATGATCGTGGTTGGCATTATTTTGCCAACCACTGAATGTTTTCTATAGATTTTGTAGTTTTGAAATGCCGATATCTCGAAATGTAAAACCGTTCTCCCTAAAATTTTCAGGTTTTGTTGACATCAATATAGTCTTGAATTATATGAGTTCAGATTGCTTATTTTTTGAATTTTATATTTTGGATGTAAACAAACTACGTCATCGTACGCCCACCTATAGTGAACAGGTACAGCCTATGCARCCCAAGTTTTCAAAGAAAGGCATGGGATCTATTGAAAGTGTCCGCAAAAATGGCTAAATTTGAGCACATTTGTGCCTTCCTATGTATTTCTTTAGAATATTAAAGATTTGAAAGGCAGTCTTTCAGTTTGATTCATATTGCCTAGCCCCCTCGGCTTGAAATCCGACAGTGAAACAAAATGTAACAGTTAGAATGCGAAATATATCTTATCTCTTTAAAGTATTTTGTATAATTTAGAAAGTTGTGTTTATAAGACAATGATATTTCAAAGAGTATTCCCCTTTCAGTCCCAGATTTGTACAAATTCTTCAGTGATATTTTGTTTTTGTACAATTTCTAGAGTGAACGCATTTTTAAATTAAAAAATTAAAATAGTTAAAATAAATTAATTAAAATAATTAAATTAAAATCCGTGAAATTGTACAAAACCAAAATTGTACTAAATCTGGGGGACACTGAAGTAGATTGTTTTTTTCTCGGAACCCTACTTTATAAATACACCATTTTCAAGTTCATARCAAAAAAACTGCTGCCTTATTTGACAACAGATTCTCTTGCCCAGCAGTGTCCAGCAGTGTGTGTTCCTTTAGGTTATATAAYAAATACGAACTTATTTTGATTTTTAAAATGCTTTATTTCTGTTCTACTTCATTGTGATACTGTCTATGCCAAACATACCACTACTACATAACGTTGGTTTTGTCCCTGCAATGAAAGAGATAACAATAAAGTGTTGTCGCTAATATTCTTGTGCAGTATTTCACAATAACGTTCCGCATAACATTTAGACTGGTTTTCACTACGCTATGAGCACAAGAGGCGAAACGGCTTTTGGACTTAGAAGGGATTACGAGGTGCTTTTCGTTTTTTGTTCTTTTGTATTTAATAAGCTTATTCTTTGTCTCGAGTCGAGGCTCAATAACAGAATTTTTTGTGTCTAGTTTTTAAAGCTACGTTCGAAAAAAGAGCACAGAATTTAATTCCCTAAAGTGTACTTCACGGGTTACATCGAACACTCGCGWTCTCGATGTTTTGAGTTTTATTTTAATTTCTAGCTGAAGTTTGAACCGATCAATCAACTTCATTTAGTCTATTTGAATGTAAACTTTTATCAGTAGAGAAGATTTGTTGTTAAATATATCTGAATTAAGTTCTTATAAACTTGTTTTATGCTCATTCTCAGAAAAACTCAGTGTCAGAATACAAGAAAGGAATTTCAAAACGTCTAGGTCGCGAGTTTTCACTTTAATTGAAACAACCCTTTATATAATGACGTTAATGATCTCTTGAAACAAAGTCTAATAGTAGAAGTGAAAAAATGTAGCAATTACTCAAACGAATTTGATTCGTAGATGAGCTGACAGCCAACAAGGCTCAGGCAAATAAACTGAACTTACCAGAATCGAAGAAATTAGACTAACAGCTACCGCATGTTTTTCGGCAAATCTTTCTTATGTTGTCATGACTTCTACAAAGTGATACCCAAAGGGGACAAGCACCACTTTTGTCTATGCAATTTCCTACAGAGAAGTAATGTTATTATTGCAATCCGGCAATGAAATTGCATTGGAGTAATAGTATTCTTGTTTTTGTGTTTTCTGAGAAAAATCCAAACTGCTTGAATTGAATACCATATATATCGATGCAATCTCAATTTATAAAATTTGCATGCTCGAAAACCTGCTGACAAAAGCATACTATGGCACTCTTCCACTGCAAATTTGCCTCTTGAAGCAATCGTTCGACTTTGATAACGATATATGTATACTGATAGTAATGTTTTTTTGGGGAGCCAGTCAGAACAATGACCCTTTCGTCTCCAACACGATTTTTTTTTTCGAGGTCTCCTCACGACAGGGAACTTCAGATTTAACAACGAGTAYGAGTACAAGTTTAAAATTTCCCTTAAGGTGTTTCGATCGTAATAAGTAGTGCTTTCGCGCGCATTTTTAAACTCCAACTACGTCGCAAATTTCTATTCAATTGCACTCAAACTTTCACAGAAGKCACATTGATTATCGATAATTCTTGTTGATGAATTAATTTGCCAAAAAACGAAGCCATTTGGAGAAACGATGCAAAATAAAAACAGCTTCTTGATTCTTCAAAATTGATTTTCTCGAAACTCATCGCAGAGATTGTAATAAAATTTTCAGAATCATTTCTTAATATCATAATTGATATACTAACGAAGTTTTAATAAAATCTTAACCTAAAATTTCGAGTTGTTCAAATGTACATCATTTTGCTGAAACAACTCGAAATTTTAGGTTAAGATTTTATTGAAACTTCGTCAGTATATCAATACTATTTGTGTAATTTGTGTAATTAGTTCTTACCTGGAGGTGGTGGAGGGGGTTTGCCTCCACCTCCACCGCCACCGCCTCCTCCACCGCCACCGCCTCCTCCTCCACACTTGTACAGTAATTTCATCTGTTTAATGTCGATACGACTTGGACCACCTCGTTGTCCAAGAGTTACCTGTTAGGAAAAAATCTATGTTTTAGTAGCATTGCATAATTTCTATCATTTTTTTTCGATCCGGTATCCTAGTTATTCGCGCGGTTTTTCACGATCTGCCCGGTCCGACGGTATCCCGTATCTAGGTTGCGAGCAAAGTTGCATAAAATACAAATAGAAAAAAATAAAAATGTTATTTACCGGCTATAGGTCGGTCCGACCTCTCAGCCGGTAAATAACATATGTATATACTGAATAGCAATATGGTTTGAAGATGCTGCATATATTTTTTGCTCTTTTCAAAGTTTTCAGAGTATGGTTTCGTGTTAGTTGAGAAAAAAACTTTAAAAGATKTGATTTTTAGTTCAGTCGGGGTTACCAGAGGCTTTTATTCTTTTGCTTACATGTTGTGGAGCCGCGAAGCGGTGAGATGTTTTCGTTAATCGGTTTGTTTTTACGCCAAGCCTCTAGTATCAGGGGTAGGCAATCTCACTTTTCGCGGTCTAACATGTCAAATAAACGAATAGATAAGAGCACATCACAGACAACAGATCATATTACTCCGATCTGCAATAAGATATAGCACGAAAGTGAAATTGCCTGTGCTTGATACCAGAGGCCTGACGTAAATACAAACCGATTAACGGAAAACGTTTTGCCTCTTCACGGCTCGACAGCAATAGTAATCGAAAGAATAAAAGACAAGCCTCTGGAACCACGGTAAAAAATCCATGAAAAATATTCTAAATGTAAAATAAATAAAATATGTATAAAAAACTGGTCGTTGCCATGGTAACGCTGTTCAAGSTGAAAATGGCATTAATTACTTTAATTACTTTAAAAATTACTTTAAAAGGCCTTTCACCATTTGTGCAAATTTTTACTTTTGTGTGTACCATTTCACGGATTATCTAGCGTGTTAGTTCTACGGAAAAGTCTCTGCCGCACGACCAAAGTCGCATATTTTACAATGTCCTTTTCTCTGCCCATCTAATTCTTAAGCATGCTCTAGAAATTTCTGTAAATTGTAAAGTGTGAGCAACAAAAACAGAATAAATGTATGCTAACATTCTTTGATATCAWAAAGACAACTGTGATTTGCGTTCTATAGACTTCTGAAGCTTTTACGTCAAATACTTGAAATGCAATGAATTGTGGGATAACGTTCTGTAGAAAACAAACGAAATTGGCCATGTTTTGTCCAAAACATATCCGTCAGTGCATTGCGTATACGGTATTGAAAGCTTCAGAAGCCAATTTGCAGTCATTTGACTAAACGTCGTTGACTGGGTTCATCCCCTACCCGCTAGATGATCGATTTTCCCTATCGGACTGTGACAATTTAACAATGGAAAACAAACCAAGAACATCATATAGGAATCAGGAATGTCCAAATAAGTTACTTTATATACTGCCAGGACATTGCCAAGTAGATTTTTCACTTCTTCGATATTTGCGTCATCAACTGCTCACCAGCATAAATCTTACACCTTATCACGAAAACCTTATCCTGAGATTTAGGAATACATTAAAATAAAGCTGAAAAAGTCTCTTTTGTAATTTGCTGATTAATTCCTAAATAGCAAAAATTCTTTTTTTAAAACAGTGTTTTTACTCGGGTTTCCAAAGGAACCGCGAGTTTAAATTTCAGCTGTCTTTTTCGAAAGGGCATTTTGAGAAATCGCGAATTTACCGTGAGTGAATTGTCTACCAAACAAGCTACCTATCTTATGAAAAGCGAACTATTACAACTGGTTATACAGGCTCTGAAACTACAAAGGACTTCTCTAAGGAATTCGAACACAGTTCTACTGAGGAAAAACCGACGATTGGAAGTATTTTATTTAGCGGAGAAAAATTCTTAAGTGTAAACGAGCATTACCATAGAAACTACGAAAGTATACAAACTTTATAGATATAACAATTTACCCTAAATATTTATATTGTTGATTCACTACTAGATTTTTATCAACAAGAACCCCGAGTTCACGTAGCTATGCGTCTAGTCRTAATTACGTTTATGCTGGAGGTATTGTCTTTGCAACTTAAATAGGATCGAAAACAGAGAGCTCAAGAGTGTTGAATAAAGTAAGCGGCAGGTAGTAACTGTGAATTGATTATCCCTATGATCGTTTTCGGTCTAGGCGCGTAGGGATGAAGCCGATCAAACGACAACGTTAGTTAAATGACTGTCAACGTTGCTGACTAACCCCAGGTTTTTTTGATTCAATAGTCGGTTGGCCATTTTTGCTGAAAGCAGTTTTTTGGTAATGCATAAGCGAGCCATAGTCATATTCAGTACCCAGAGAATTGATACCTCCTTGTCTCTGAAAGTTGTATTGCATTCCTAAAAAAATGATATCAGAATTTTAAATGAATACATAGATGATATTACATGGGCGCACGGAAATACGGATTTTATCGAGTGTTGAGAAGCTCTAGATTTCAACGTGAGAAGATGAAAAACGAATCTCCAAGCGACCGTGTAATATTCTGTTTATATCACATAATTATCTTCGAAAGAAAATTGCAATAATCGCGGGTCTTCGTTTTTACTAAAAAATATTTTTTTCCATTTTTTCCGACTTAGTTTCAAACCTACGGCACATTCAMGTTGGTTTTCTTTAAATTATTATTTTAACAAGTTCGAGCAGAGAGTCAAAACACTTAGTGCAGAGCAAGATGGGAGTAACTTTGGAAGACCTGAATTTTGAGAATGTTCTTCAAAGTGACTGAAATCGAAGGTATCAGGGGTGGTAATCTTCGAATATAATTATCACCAAAGAACTCTAGGTAATTGAGCATAGTCACATGTCAGTACAGATTTCGGCATTGGTGTCAATGTTGGTTGAGAGAGGCTGGTCACGTGACTAACCCTAGCCCAAAACTCCTACCCTAGTTCAAACTCAACCCTAAGCCAATTCTAACCCTAGCCTAAATCTTAACCCTAACCCTGTCACAGCAAACCTAAACCTAACCCTAGTTTAGACGTAGCCCTAGGTTCAAACAAGGTGTGATCACGTGATCTATCAAATTTCAATCTGAGATGATTAAGTGATTTTGATGCCAGAGTGTGGAGGTCAAGTTAATTCAGATATTTATGATTAAAGAGATTTGTTAAAAAAACAATCAGTATAGTGACATTTGATTGATTTTTCAATCCATTTGTATTAGTGACATTTGTAATCTAGAACTTGTTTGTTAATTCCCAGAAGGAAGTCCTAAAAATGCATTAAATAAAGTTTGGATTGGAGAATACCTGTCTTTATGTTTTCCCACTTGATTAGCACATAATTATCACGATCTGGTCTGGATTGTTCGTGGTAGAAACCAAGAGCGTGACCTGAAAATGGAAAGATCCTTGGTTTATTTTTTAGATTCTATTCAAGGATAGATTACTATCATTAAATGATTTGTTGTCGCCTATGGAGTATCGAAAATCACATTGAATACTCCAGTTTCGAATTCTCTTTTGTGCAAGATTAGATTCATTCAAGCATTAATTTTGATTGATTGATTAATTTTTTATTGATTGCTTTCGATTGTACCCTCCCCCGCCTCGTCTCGCAATTGTTGAGCAATGTCCCCCGTAGATTTAAAGTGTTTATTGCCTTTTGTTAGAAATCAGCCMATCTAATTTGAGAATACTCTCTTCTTTTGGGACCCCTGTGCCTCCGGACCAAATTAGTTATAGTCAGCATTACTTTAGTCCGAATATTAGAATTCAACGGCCATAAAAATAACTTCCCGAAAAGCAATTCATTGTCGAAGAGCTTCAAAAGAATCCTTGTACATTCATGTTTATTGTGGAGCAGTTAAATGTGGACAAAAGAATGGATTTTGACAAAAAAAATCGAATGCAAGTAGAGTTACTGTTGGAAATCTTTGGGTCCAGTCTCCAACCTTGTATTAATATAAGTAGGCTAAACAATGGTATACCAAAAATGGCGTAAAACCTCTTAAAAACGAACGATTTTCAACCAGGAAGGTAAGAGACGTTTTATTTATGTTAGAATAATATTATTTAGGCAAAAAAAAAAAAAAAATTGTGCGAACGACATATTTTATACTAAGTTATTGAGCCTGGGTTACCTGTGATCTATTGTGTTATCGGCGCGCACTCTTAGCAAAATGCGGATTACCTGTGGTGCTATGTCACGATCCCTTGCCTCGCGGGTCTGCACAATAGTCTGTCGTGACAAATTTATTATTTTTCTCTTATTTCCCAAATATAACAGCAAACGGCAATTTTATCTACAATAATGATGTGTACTATGATTTTTTGACTATTTTATTAGTTTGAGTCTCTGGCTTTCATTTTACGAGGTARTCCGCATTTTGCTAAGAGCGCGTGCTAATAAAAAAATCTTGCGCATTCGTTCTTTCCTTTCACTCAAGCAATAGTTGGGAGGCTTATGGATGCACAAAAAAAATTAATGGGTGAGCAAAAACCCTTTTAAAYAGGTACAAAATTTAGCAAGAAAAGTTATTTTTTCAATGAATAACTACGGTCTTGTGCAAAACGGTAGAATTAGCTTTCTTACCAATTTCGTGAGCCACTATTCCATTATGCCAACAACCAGAAGCAAGGTTAATATCTTGTTTATTACCAGTCCGGCCAACGTACGAAGAACAACTAAGGAGGCATTAGTGCAAAACATATCAAATGGTACAAGAGTAAACAATAAATAATAGATTAAGCTATATTACTAGACTCTAGCTATAAGGCTAGAGTATATAACAGATATTAGATATTGTATATATCAATCCCATAGTTATATGCAGTAATTTTGGTTTCTCTTGTTGCCGTCGAAACTGGTCAGAACAATAGTCAGAAAAACCTCTTGGTAGGTATATTTGGTGGACGCTACAATGCAGCCGTTCTCTTTGTACCGACGGCCATTTTGAAAATAGCTACATGGGGGCCCTGGGGAGAAGGTTAATAACSTTTTATGATTATTTGTGCTCCATTGGTAAGTGGAATATCTATGGTGATTAGCTTTTTGCTTGAATAGTTTCATGAATTGTATGTAATATATACAATATGAGCGGCCGATCTGTATTGGGAAATAAATTACTTAACCCATTGTATTCCCAATACAGATCGGACGCGAATATTGTATATGACTTATGATATCCATCATTGAGCACCTAAAGTTATTATTTCTTAACAATAGCTAAAAGCTAAAATCTGTTGTTTCTTAGTAATAATAGAAATATACACAGCTCGTTAAACGTATTACAAAAGACATTGTTACATCGAATCTGTTCTACAATGGGGTTATGTAACCATAGCTAGGTAATGAAGCAGTTATTGTTTTCTTTTCCACGGGCCGTATGTCGCATAATTTTTGCCTTCAGTWAGYGTTCATCATGCACTCAGAACAAGCTCGAGAATTATGGCTAACTTTAGAAAACCRAAAGACAAGAACGAAGAYGAAAATTGGCTGCAGGATTCTTATAACATCTAATACCAAACATACCATAAAATGGAGTGAATTTTTTCACGAGTGACAACAAACAAGGGAAGAAAATTAACAGTCGGTAACAAACGAGAGCGTTGGGTTTGGCTGTGATATCGATAATGTGCAAAATCTTGACAAGAAGCTGAAGGAAATGACACCTATGTCATGTGACTACAATAACGGTCACTGAATGGCTGTATAACTTATGAATCATTAATGAATATTATAAGAACAATTACTAGGTTGAGTTTTGAATATGAGTAAGGGAATATAAAAAGTTGTCTATGGTTCATTCTTGACAATATCTATGTGCAGTCAATTTAAAATTTGCAAAAAACATCCATTATTGCTATCGAGAAGGATCTGTCGTAAGACTTCCATATATGTTTGCACGCAGGTTCATGGCGCTGATGTACACATAGAAGGCTCTCATGTCCCTATTATGTGAAGACGGACTTAGGGAATTTTCAAAGACTTAAACTTAAAATGARAAAAAAAGTTATTGAAGGACGCGCGTTAAGTTTCGAAAAGGCACTATACATTGCCTAACCCTGYATTTCCCCTAAATCTATAACCATTAAGCCATGAGCTCGATTAGATTGACTACTATATTTTGATTTGATATTGATTGATTGATTTGATAGATCAATTTTGCGTATGATCTTTTCACATCATTTTTGAATATTGTTATCATTTCAGCGAACATTTAGCATTCAGATTGCATTCACATTATCCTCAGAGAATTTACTATAAGATTAAAAAGTTTGAAAGAAAGAAGAAAAAAAAGAATTCTAACATTTTTTGTTCTTTCTTTCTTTAACTTTAAAATCGTTCTTTTTTTCTAAAATCATTTTACGCAATGCAAACTTTAATCTTATAGTAATCTTATAGTAAATGAATTGGAAACTAGTTATATATTCAATCTTATGCACATATACGTAGTTACTCATTAATTTTCGCTGCAATGATAAAAATATTAAAAAAATGATGTGAAAAGATCGTACGCAAATCTGATCTATCAAATCGATCGCGGCGCTGGTAAAAGTATCCTGGACACGGTCCCGGCGAAGAGGGGGGAGGGGGAACGGACTCCCATGTATTTGCTATACGGGGGCGTGCCGCTGGCCAGGGTATGGTTTTTGGCCTTGCTGTCTTAAACAGGGTATACATTTCAMCCGAAATTGTCTTAAACAGGCTCTACARTTTAGATAAAAACCGATATAATTTTTTGTGTGTCTTAGACAGGGTAATATTTTCATAAGAAATACCGTTTCACTGTAGCAGGATTAACGTGTTATCAAAAACTTCTTATTGTCTATGATGGGTGTCAGTTTAATTCCAGCTTTGATGGTTGTGGCGTAGATAGCTATTCCTTATTTTTCCGATTTGTCTTGAACAAGGTATGGATATTCACTTTCTAGTGTCTTAAACAGGATCTGGGTTTTAGACCGCTGGCGGCACGTACCTATCCAAAACGGGGACACGGTATCTTCCACCAAGTRGATCTTGYTGGCTTAAAGTCTACTTTCTTGGTATTTAGGTCTTACATAGAGATGCGAGCCATAGGCGATAAACATTAAAATAACAGGTTTCATTTTTCGTTAGTCTGTAGTTTAGAATGGATACACAGATGACGTCAAAATGTGACGAGAACAAAAAAGTGACTTCTGTCCTCATCACATTTTGACATTTTGTGAGTATCCACTAGAGAACAGACGCACGGAAAAATGGAATCTATCTATACAATATTTACTCTAATTTATTCAGTAGGGCGAAATTAAATTGAATCTATTTAACAAACAAAACAGAACGAGCGTATTGGTTCTGACCAATCAGAGCGCACGTAAAATTAAATGGCGTCGTTCATGCGAGTGTACTTAATAACACACGGCTCTCGACCAATCCAATTGCGCGTAATATACCAAAGTGTATACGCCATACTGAAAAATGAACTTATCTACAAGTAATGATAAAATATAACATGTTTATGCAAATGTTATAACTCATTTATGATGAATAAGTTTTTTAACAATATAAATACCCTTGTCCCAATTTAAAACGTGCGTAGGCTCTTTCGTTTGTCCTCTGCTTGAATCGTATGCATGTGCTGCCCTGCCATAAGCTTATTCCTGCCCGAATGGCACTCACTGCTCTTGAGTTGCCGGCTTAAAACACGAAAAATTGTTGTTAACGCACATATTTATTTTCCACAATGTCCAAAGAATACTCTAACTTAATATTCTAACAGTAACTCTGAACTCGTTTAATATATTCTGTTGTATTTTGACCAACAATAACAGGGTGTATGCTCTCTTATCGCACTGTGTAATAGAGTGAACTGAATATGACTGCGAAATAAAATCTAAATAGGTTCTAAGTATTAACTCTCATTTAGTAACTATAGACCCCAACAACATAAAACGCTGTCTTTAGAAAACGAGTTTTGTTAACAGTCTCGTAGTCCGAAGAAAACCACTCTAACATTGAATTCACAAAATAGWAAATAAGAAATTTTACTTACCAAGCGAACTGTCAATTTCGTAAACAAATAGTCCTTTTGGCCACAGTCTACTATTTATAGAAGCCCGCTGACCATGTAGAGCGGCGGCTCTTTGTTCTGCCGTAAGAATCATGTCGCCTTCATAGACATTTGGGTCGTCGCTCTCCTCTATAAAAAAGCAAGGGGAAATTACAACGTTTTGTCATCCTCACCATAATATTAAGACAAGGTAAAAGAACAATCGAATGAGCAAAAACGAACAAAAATTATGGGGTTAATAGCAATACTCCTTTTTTCGAATTCAAAGCGAATAACCGCTGCTTCATTTGACAACAGATTCTCCTCCTCAAAGACCTGACCAAACACAAACGAGAGCACGAGAAAAATGTCGTTATTACAATGTCCTTGAAAATTTGCATTTTACCTGATTAAATACTAACCCTAGTTTGAACATATTTGGTTAAATACTCACCGAGTAGGAATTTTTTCAAATTTGTAAAAATAAGAGAAAATGTATGGTTTTAGGGACGCTGCTCCAAACCTCGATACATTTTTTGTAATTTGTTCGAGTTTTAAACGCTTAAAACTCTGTAATTATTACTACGAATACACTCAAACTCAACAACTTTACTAATTTTAGCATGCTCTTTCTTGTCCCGGTGTCTGTTTTTTGATTGATTCAAAAGTCACCAGTCCCTTTTTGAATTTCGAAACGGTCAATATTCACAAATGACTTAAGGTTCAAACCTTTTCGGAATACATAATTAGCATTAACTCGGGGAAAATGCACTAAGGTCTTTTTATAAGAGAATCTTCTGTCAAATGGAACAGCGGTTATTCGCTTTAAATTGAAAAATGGAGCATTATAGGGAGTAGTCTGGCATTTGAATCTTATTGGTCTCACCTTCAGGATTTGAGGCAGCAATTACTGCTGCTGCAGATAGAAGTAGTAACCACTTGATCATCATCTCGAACTGTTCAAGAGTTGCCCTCTGTGATATCTAACGTTTCTTTATAGACACTGAATGGATCCATCTTCGCAGATGTACAAATTGGACCTTTTTCTGAATCAACAAATCCAATGTTTACATTTTTTCGATTTTTGATGTCAAATCCTTAAGAAAGTGTTCAATCAAATATTTGCATTGGGAATTAAAGGTGCACAATGTGTAAAAAGTCACGAAAAGAAACTATGAAATTAGCTACTTTCAGGTCTTTCTATTCCTTGTTGTTTTTTTTAAACCGCCATACTACAGCGTTTTTATTACATTGAAGTCAAAAACCTGTGAAATAGACATTACACTAATAAACCTTAGCATGCTCTAATGGAATTGTTTTGTTTTGGGTGTATTTGACTTTGACGCTTTCACGGGTTTGTTGACTTCATTCAAACCTGTGAAATAAATTTTAGAGTCCTATTTGTACATCACTTTGACTGCGGGTTAATGAACTCACTTTAAACGSCCATAAACCTATAAATCTAGGTATTAAGAGCCGCTTCGCACAAAAATCAGACATACCTTGGCAAGGCTCAAAAAACCAAATCTATTAATATTTTGTATATTGATAAGGTATGACTAGGTAACAATCGCTGTGTAATTGGTTTTTGAAAATATTTCATTTTTCGCCAGAAAATCGCTAAACAATGTCACATACATAAATTTCGGCTGTTAGTAGTCACATACAAAAGAATCAAGATCAGGCGCCGTGCATGAAGCTCAGTCAATATTGACTTAGCTTTATGCACGGCGCCTCGTCTTGATTCTTTTGTATTCGACTACTAACTTTGCGAAATTCGCAAATCGGCATTTTTTTGTACAAAACAAAACTCTAAAGCCATGAACTTTATTAAATGGTGGAAAATTCCACTGAATTGCACTAATTTTTTTGTTTTCTATTGTCTAATCCATAGTATCTATAAGGAAAATCCTTGCACTGCGCGTTTTTAAATTTCGGGTTATGGGTTATCCTGCAACTTGTGGCGAACTTTCAACCAATCGATCAACTTGATGTGGCCTATTTCATTACATCAGTAGCCAAACACTAAAACACCATTTATTCTTTATTTTTCGTACTTTGGTATGAATCAAAAATATAGGAAAAACTTGTTTCWTGTCTATGTAATGTCTCCTGAGTATTGAACTATAAGTTGATTCGCTTGAGTGCTAACACCTATTTAAAGGGACACTGTCAATGGATGACATGCGCAGTAACATTCTCGCCTCTAACGGACTTTGAAAGTATTACCTTCGAGGTAAATCATTTTGTGGTGCTTTTGACATACTTTGGAATATTCTAGATCTGTTTACGTTTACGAGCTGATTTATGTCGCGCCAACTTGTAGTCATAAACTTGAAAACATTAGAATAATGTTTTCAAGTTTACTAGCGCATGCGTGCCATTGACAGTGTCCCTTTAAGTACAAAATAGTGACTAATTCTTAAGAGCTATTTAGTTTTTATTTCACGGATTTTAATAAAATTACTCTATAGTGTAGATTAGCAAATAAAAAACAAACTCACACAATTCGGACAGAACAATAGCGTAATGAGATTTGGGCATTAAAGTGTGTTTACTAGCCCGCAAAATACACTTTAGGGTATTAGATTTWATTGTTCTTTATTTTCTTTATGTTTTCCGTGTATTGTCCTGTAATACTTGAAATAATACATTTAAGATTGTATACACTTTGTTTCAGGAATTAAAGAGGTTTTCATTTAACATTCCAGTGTCCTACACTCTTAGTGTGAGGTCATAAACACGTGAAACAAAACATGACTATTAAAGTGTGATAGTCAAATAGGCAAAAAACAAAACAATGCAATTATTGCAAGGGTGAAGTACCAGTTTCATAGATTTTTTGACTTCACTCTGATTAGTGTTTTTCGTTTTTATACCATGTCATAGAAAAACGAATTTTAAAGCTTCTTGGTCGCGATAGAAGGGTTTTCGTTTTGATGTAATTCGCCACTATTTTTACAATCGTACTTCTTCACGCTTTGTGTTTAGAGCGCAAATACTAAAAGTGTGAAACTGTACTAGACAAATAGTGCTAATTTAAGCAATATAATGTAGTTTTGACAATAGAAAGCAAAGAAATTGTCGTATAGTTATCGCATTTAAACCGTGGAACTGTACAAAATCTAAGTCGTGCTAATACTAAAAGTCGTGCTAATACTAAAAGTGGCGGACCTGAAGCAAGACGGTATTGAATGCTTCCTTTGTATAAATTCAATTAATTTGCACACCGCATCCATGATTTACTACATGTAACTAAACAGCACTATATACTATCGTACTAGAGGTCTAGAGATTTGGTCATTGAATCGGTGTTCCAACCCCTCGCAATACACGTATTACACTTTATCTTTCAGCTTGACCATTAAAGTGTGATAGTCAAATAGATACAAAAGAAAACAATGCAATAAGGGCGAATAGCTGACTTACGAATTTCGCCACAGTAGTCAAACACAGAGGAATCAAGACGAGGCGCCGTGCATAAAGCTCAGTCATTCGTGAAAAGACAATTCTTTTGTGTGTGACTTCCGAGACTTATAGACTCCTTCACGGTTAAGTGCGCCATCTTGAAAGGTAGCCGTGCCTTTTGCATCGAAGCGAGACGACCGTTGAGCGTGCAGTGATAGAAACCCTATTTCACACCTACAGACCATTATTCACAGATATCTATCATTGCACGCTCAACGGTTGTCTCGCTTCGATGGATAGGCACGGCTACCTTTCAAGATGGCGCACTTAACCGTGAAGGAGACTATTCGCAAATCAGCTATTTGAAAATGAGTTTTAGTGTAGAACCTATTTCACGTTTTTTACTTTACTTTATTTTTATCGTTTACCTTTGTCGGTGTATCACACATTATTACGCTTTGACTGGCGTGTTACATAACAAAAACCACTCTACTGAACASCTTTAGAAGAAAGTAGCAAGAAGAAATTATAGCATTCTTTTGTTAAAAATGAAATATTAATGGATTTTTTTATTTTACTGAGATTAGATTTGTACAAAATATTTCTTCGTGTTAAGTCCAAATGTCTCTCGAGAAGACCAAATAATGCGTACATAGTTGACTAAATAGTTTGAAGTATTGCCACTCAAAATGATTTGGTTTGAAAGCACATTTTTATCTGTGTTTTAGCAGCTTTTACGAGTGGTCTAGATTGAAAAGAACCAGCTTTTTACACTCGTCATTCATGACTTGTACTCCTTTCGGACTGAAATCGCATACCACAAACAACGCAGGCTAGGTTTTACTTCGATGTTTTTTGAACGTTCTGCTTCTGTTCAATTTTTTGTCTTAATATCTTCCTCGACTCCTTCCAATTGTAATCGAAGGGTGCTAATGAATAGGCGATTTACCCAAATGGCGTCACATAGTCCATATCACAAGCCCGCCATTTTGAATGGTTTTGCAATGTATCATGGGATATATATCTCCCTTTCTTCATCAAAACAAACCGCTAAAATCGTAAAAACACTAATTAGTTTCGATTTTTCCACAGACAAAATATGTTTCTTTTCATTTTTGCTTGATTAGCCTAGTAAATGGACATTCTTGATTAACTGTACATTTTTGGAGGTTTTTCTTGCTGAATTTCCTTGCATGTTGATGATATTTGTTTGTTTTTTCGCTTTTGAGATTAACTACAATATYAATATTTCCCAATGTTTTTCGAAAACTGAGTCTACGTTACAGACAACTGGAGCACTGACATCGTTGTTCACTTGTTTACTCATTTATCAATCCCAAAATGCACTGCGTCACAAGGCCTTCCGCGGGTTTCGATATGGACTATGGTACCAAGACCAGAATGCGTTTCTTTTGTAATGTAATAAGATCCGATTGTTTAAATTGTAACTAACGCACTATTCCCCCCACGGGATAAATCCTAGAGCCTTAGCGGTTAGCTTGTAACATGTGCTTGGACGTGTCTTGAAACTCGTGTTTTTATCGTATTTTGTCAAAGCCAAACGTATTGTTAGGCAAAATCATAATCTCCATTAAAAAATATTAATAACAAAGAAAGTACGCAGAACATTCTCGTATTGGAAGAAAAATGACGCCATAACGCATATCGGCTATTACAATTTTGTTCAACCATCAAACTTTTGCACAACGTTTTGAAATAGTTTAAAAACAAATTCATCTGTTCGATTTTATAGGGAAATTCATTGGATGACGAGGGAATTCCGCGGAACACCCGATTTATCCAACGAATTTTTCTTGAATCTCAACATGGGGAGGTTGCACGATTCCAATCCTGTGGCTCACCCCCGGGTAAAGGAATATTTACAATTTCGCAGGCAATACCGTTATTTTTTGGAAAGTTTAGTAAGCTAGTAGACCACCTTCGTGATCGTATAAAGAGCAACACCGGTCTCTCTGTCACGGACAAATATATTTTGGTTCGAGATATTATTGGCTTGAATATTATCTCTCGGCCTGCAGTTTGCTGGTAATTGATTTGTCGCACGGTTATTTCTTTAGGGCCACGGACCGGGCATGCCGTATTAGTAATAGTTCGTTTTTGGGTGCCGCGGTGAATAATCGCTTGGGCAAATATTTGGTTGAAGCCAATATACATGGTGGTGAGACACCTCATAGCCTTAAGAGTCGGTCTGTCTAACACATTACACATGCTCGGTTGCTCTAAGGATGAAATAGCCCAGTACTTGGGATTGAGGAGTAAGGGTATGGTTAGCCGATATATAAGGGTGTCAGAGACCGGCAATTCTTCGGCCCTTACCCGGAATACTCGTTGGGATACCCTTTCTTTGAACCAGAAACCCACCGCTGACCCGGACAATCTTGAATGCATTTTCTGGATTAWATAATCAGTCATTGTTAGTCGTTTCCTTGATGTTGTAGTAGATGTTTTCTAGAATCCCACATTTAGTGCAGCTCATTAATAAATGGTAGTGCCATTAATGATAGGGTGTTTGTGGTAATCAATGGGGGAGAGGTCAAAGGGGGTTTCTGAGTGATGGGAAGAGTAAGGTCGATACGGG